CGAGTAGAATCTTTTAGTGCATTAACAATTGCCAAATTAACCGTTGATCAAATTAACTATGTAATATCTCAAATTCCCCAACAGAATCAATCGTATAAGTCACGTGGACGTGACCTCGAAGGTCACAATCACATGATTACTGCGTCATAAATGTATTGAATTTAGGTCGACGTGTAATAATTTATCAGTTTTAACTTACGAACCTGTTATATTTTTTCATGTAATAAATAAATACGTGACATTTATGTACCTTCACTACGTAAAGAAAAATCTAAAGTTAACCTGGCTTATGCATAATTTGTTTGTATGTAAACGGGTCACAACCACAAAGTGCCACTAATCACAGATTCGTATAATAAAAATAATTAGCCATGTTTTTTTTCTGTTAATATAACAATGAAAAATCAGAATAACGCATTAACAAATAAAAAAGACAAAATTACATCGAAAAGCGGCATATTCCCTGTCCACTCGCAAGTCTCGTGTCCAGATTATTATAGTTAACTATTTTTCTGATATATAATTTATTGAGCCGGCAATGAACGAAGTGAAATGAAGTGAATTGGCGGGGAGGGTGGAATCATGGATGTAAGGTCTGTGATGGATGCAATCATCATTCACACCTATATTGTAAAACGTGTAAAAAAGTAGCGGATGGGATATATAGGCGATGTGAATGTGAAAATTCTCGAATAATTAACGTTAAATAAAAATAAATCAGAATTAACGATTTGGTCGCTATACATAATTTTCTGTTTTTCCATGTAACGGTAACATTAAACATGCATGTAAAATTATCGCATAACTTATTTGTGAGACGGATCACATTTTTCTGAAATAAACACCCTAACTCAAATTCGGTCAATCATCTCCTGACACATATATTCCTGATTTCGCTCTGTGAGAAACCGGACCGAACCTAATCTGGCCTAAATGCGCATAATATGTTTATGTTTAGAGATCGTGCAATTTTAACTTTATATAGTGGACTATTTGCAAGACAGAAAGATTTCGGGTCTAGATGATTCACACTCTGTTATTTATCTTCTGTTTTTTATCATCGATAAAAATTTCAACTTCCATCAATGAAATTCCTTACAATGTTTGTGATCATATATGCAGGGACACAATTGTAAAGCTAACATGGTATATAAAATAGATGATTGGATAGATAATATAAAGTAGTGAGAAGGAACTGCCTTCTGTAGTTTTATACTTATTTAACAACGCCAGGGCGTAGGATCGATTTTACTGTCACATGATTTTCCGACGTCTATCAACCAATCAAAGATCAGGAT